CCTCCGGAGATCACCTTGATCTCCAATTTCTTCTTGGCACCACCTGGTCCAAGGGAAGTCTTGAGACGCTTGTCCGCACTTCGATAATCCACATCCTTAATTTCGGCCTCCCGCCAATCGTCGCGGTGCGAAGTGTTTGGCTTCTTGTGTGCTTGCCACCGGGGAAGCGGCTCTGCCTCCGCAACATACTCACTAAGGTATCCCCTCCGGATGAGCTCTTCAATTGCCCTTTTGAGGCTAGTGCAATTGTCTGTTTTGTGGCCCGTCTTGTGGTGGTACTCACAGTACGTATTAGGGCGACCGCCCATCGATTGATCCTAGTCCACCAGCCCAGTGAGAAGCCCCTCGCCCTTGATTTGCTCGAAGATCTGCGAAACGGGGAGCATCAAGGGGGTGTACTCGGACTCTCCCACCGTCTGTTGTTGTTCGGTGTGTGGTGGGTCGACGGGGTGTACCCTCCGCTCCTCTTTTTATTCTTGTATGTGGGGGGCTCCGTTGGTCCCGGGCCCATTCGATTAGCTATCTTGCGGGTCATGGAAGCCGGCTTCCCATCTCTTTGGGCCATCTCTTCCTCGATCGCCACATATTTTTGTGCCCTAGCCAACACTTCGGCGTAATTGTTCCTGGGGTTCCTCTTCAGATCCAGGTAAAGATCCTCGGTCGTTAGTGCATTCATGAAGAGGTTGATTCATGTACACTCTGTAAGGTATTCAACCTTCAGTGTCTCGTCTCTCAACCTTATGAGGAAGGCATATAGGGATTCCCCTTTGTTCTGGTGCACGCTCGTCAGCCAGCTAAAATGTTTCATCGGTGTGGTGCTGGATGCGAACTGTGCCATGAACTACCTTGATAGCTGATCAAACTATCAACGATTCTGAGTCTGAGCTGGCTGAACCATTCCTGTGCAGGCCCTCAGAGGGTGCTGAAAGATAGCCTGCATATGGCCTCATCGATTGCTCCCAGCACGGAGAGCCCACCTCGGAAAAAGAGCAGGTGGGCCTTTGGATCTCTGACCCCATTTTACACTAGTGTGCCAGGTGGTCTGCAGTCTCGTGGGACCTCTACAGCCATGATCCTGGCAGAAAATGGGGAAGTGAGTGCGATTCTGGGCTGCGCCGGGTTATTCTCCGCCCGGCAGTTCAATTTATTGATTTGCCTCTGAAGGCCAACAAGCATTGCATCACGCGGATCGATGGATGGGGTTATAGGGGTTACCACCGCAAGAGCATTTTTGGTTTGTAAGCATATGTGCCATGTTGTCTATTGATGAAGTGGGCGCCTTGCCCCCATACTCTGGGAACGTGGCCCCGCATTATTCACCGTTGGAGTCGGCTCCCTGGCCAGGTGATCATTTCGAGGCATCACGAGGGTGCGGCCTCAGACCGCATGCTGATGTCCTCCTCTGTGGAGCCCGGCTCTTCCCTGTCCTTCCATATCTGGGGAGTGAGGATTTTTGATGATCCGAATGTGAACCGATGAGCGAGATTCCATGGTCTCGCCTGTACGCTCGTCGAGCGTCTGCATGGATCGGATTTGTGAGAATGGTGTATGCTCGGTTCCTGCGGAGTACGCGTGCATCCTCACATCATGTTCGTCTGCCAGACGACGTATGGTGCCTGCCATCTCCCTCATGGCGTTTGGGTCCCGCCTGACTTCTAGGGGAATCATATTCGTGAGGTCCCCAAAGTCCCCGCAGCTCCATAAGCTGCGGGATTAGGCCCCTCGAAGCCTAGGTGTGGGCCCTTCTGCTGTGTGCCCGCCGTTCGGAGAGATCATGGGAGTTTCCAGCGTTGTTCCTTGCCATCTTGTTTATCGTAAGGTGCGTAGAGAGCTGTTTTTTCTGGTGAGGGCTTGTTTTGAAAGAACTTTTTTATTAGTTTCCCACAGACGGCGCCAATGTTGAGGTTTATTCCGTCAACCCAAAGGCCCAACGCGTACCCTTGGATCTTGAGTGGAAGATTTAGTGAATTAGATGAATAAACAAGCAAGAGATGGGTCGAATTATCCGTAGTAAGTGGCTGTAATGTTATTAAATGATAACAAGGTCCGTATACAACACACTTCACTACAAAAGCCCTGAGGCCGTTCGTCTACTGCTATGCTATGAGATGATAACAATTGCTATTTGTTAAGAGTGCTAAGTTGCCAACCTCTTCCAATGAAATAAATGCTACTCTTCATACTAATAAGGGGTAGATGATGTTGCTGGCGTGGAGGGTTGTGGATGGCTAGCTTCCAACCACCAAATCTACTGCATTAAATGCGGTTCCCACTAATATCTTGTTTTCCCTCCATAACTTCGGTCGAGCGTCCTGATGGGCCAGGTTGGGGGATCTCTGATGGGCCAAGGACGAGCCTCTGTTCGTATTTGGTGTGGGCGGACAAGCGTCCTTCCTATGGTCAACTTGGGTCTTGTTGTGTATAAGGGTGTGGACCCGCCCGGTCCATACTATTCCTTCTGACCGAGGGCCTGAAGCGTTATTCTGGCTCCCCTGGCAAACAGTCTCTGAAGTCGGTCGTCTTCTTATGGGGCCCAGATGACCAAACAATGCAAAGGGCTTTGGGCCAATCTGTATTGGACCCATTAACCCAACAACGTGAATTGTGAGAATGACAAGCATTTATGAATTGGTCGCACTTTTTCACTTAGTCTACAGTTAGAAATTCTTTTACTATTAGAAATAGTTTAGTTAACGTCAATACAACCCAAATTCATTGTTGAACTTTACAAATGGTACACGTTCCTTATCATTTTTTGTACACGTTCCTTATCGAATTTTGTGCCAGTCTTTAAATCAACAACAATCTTTTGGTACATGTTCCTTATCATTCTTTTTACAAATAATGATGAACAAAGAAAATTCATTCTTTCGCGTGCCATTGATAAAGGATTTGGGAGAGATATATGGTGAACAACCAATGATGAATAAATCTGATTTCGGATGATGATTTTATAGAATATGAAGAACTTGCAAATATATAGAATGAAGATTCTAAGGGTTTGGATTTAATTTAAATGTCAAATTATTTTGTTTTACAAGATTATTATCAATACCAATAATTGATATTGTGGGTGAATAGCTTTGGACTGCACCAAATCTTTGGTGATTTTTGCGAAAATGGGATCTTAATTTTATAGATAGAGTTGCAAAAACACCTACATAATATCTCCCAAAGGAAATTTTTGTCTATGTCGGTGAAGAGTATCAAAAGTTAAAGAAATGAGAAGATGCAAACTACTCATTACTCACAAATTTTATATATACCTAAGGATTATTTTAATAATTGGTCAAGTAATTGAATGGAGTGATCATTTAATATTTTTTTGAGTATATACTTTTCTTAAATGGGGTAAGTCATATTTTGACTTTTTCAGCTTTATTTCACACCAGTCATACTAAAAATATAATTTGATTGAAATTACTATAAAGCGTAATTTTATCCTTTTGTTTTAGACTATGTACAGGTGTACAACTTTTTATATATTCAAATAAAGTTTAAAAACACTTTTAAAAGTGCTTATATTACAACTCCAAATTACTATTTATTGATTGATTTGGTCATAAGTACCTAAAAAATCAGAGTCAATCTCACCAACGCCTTCAAATGTTAAACTTCCTTTCAAATTTTATAGAAGAAAATTTTCAGTAATGATCGTTTATACAATAACAATTAATAAAAGTTAGGATCAATCTCTCTCTCTCTCGTGTAGGATTATTATTAAAGAAGCAAGTTTTCGAGAGTTATTATTTAATTGAAAATAGCTACAAATTTTGTTAGTGGATAAAATTTGCAAAGTACAACGAAGATAACCAATATTGTTCATAAAGAAGATTTTCAAAATTTATAGAACTCATATTATTAATTTTTTACGTACTATTAAGTTGTTCTCCTTTAATTAGAATATTTTTTGAGGCATTGTTTTTTCTTTAAGTAAAAACATATGCAATTTTTTTGCCCGTGCATCGCATGGGTAAGCTGGACGCCAAAAAGCTTTTTGAAAGTCTCTTTAGAAGTCTCTCATGGTCAGTTTTATGATAGTTTGCTCTCATGATCAATTTTATGTTGCATTTTCCAGAGTTACAAATATAAAAGTGCTGGAATTTTTTGTAGTAGATGGTGACGAACAAAGCACTTTATAGATCTAATGTTTGTTATTCAACTTTAGCTCTTTTGCTTGATGCAACAATATACTTTTTGATATTTTTTTAATTATATATATTTAAGTTTTTTGTTGTGCATCCCACGGGTGAGCTACTAGTCATTTTAATAAGAGGACCGCAACTAGACTTAAACCCATAATCTCTAAATCACATAGCAATACTTTAACAGGTGCACTAAGCTTCCATTCGAAAGAACACTAAAGCTTCCATTTGAAAGAAGAACACTAAAGCTTCCATAGTTCCATTCCAAAGAAGAAAAGGATCAATAAAGAGAACAAAAGAAATAAAAACTCTATACTTTTCATTTTCATTTTCATTTACCCCAGTGCCGCAAAGGCTCCCACCTACGGTGGGGTAAGGAGGGGTCGGATGTACGCAGTCTTACCCCTGTACTAAAGCACAGAGAGACTGTTTCCGAATGACCCATAGTGAAAATCCCGTCCAAAATTGCATGGACTGACTGCTGCTTCATGACAAAGAAGCGCAAACAGTTTAGTGAGCCATTTTGCTTTATTCCATCATAATCTCAAGCCAAAAAATAATGAATCTTTGGCTCCATTGCAAATGATGGAAACAAAAACTCTCTTTATACTGTTTACATTTTTTCCTTGGTTCTCATCTGACTATTTAAATTAGGCAAAAGTACGTCAAATTACTGATCCGGCATTTATTTGGCAAAAAAAGTAGGCCATGGACGCCAAAGTGTTACCAAGTGTCGAACGGTCTACAGGGGAGGTGACGCGTTCTGGTGAGCATTCTCCACTGCCTAGACAACTAAGCATCCGCCTCAACGACACCACGATAACTATAGTTTCAAAAGATATTCAATAGCGTATGTAGTGCACAAGAGAAGGAATTGATCTATATAAAAGATAATTATAAATGAGTGGTGAGACAAAAAAATGGAGAAGTGGAGAACTGGGTTCAGGAATTACTAATTACTATACTGCAGTCTTGAACTCCCCCTTTCAAATGGGAGTAAAAAAACAGGTAGATATATGAATTACAAAAATTCAGAGGGCATTAACTTAATTGGGTCTATAGGCATACCTATTGTCAGAAAACTAAATTTATCCTGTAAAGGTTTTCATCTTTCTTGGCTAAAAATTCTTCAGACCTTCTCATCTGGATCGGAAGATTCTGAGTCCTTTTGCAGGCCACTCTTGGACATTGAATGACTACGCCGCTCCTTCCCACCAGGCTTAGACGACGCATTGCCATACCAGATCATTCCCATGACTGCAATTATCATGCCAAGCACCACTTGTAAATTAAGCCCCTCTTTCCCAAATAATAAAAACCCCAGCATCAACACAAGGATGGTTTTCATATGGCCAAGCACTTGGAATGATACAGCAGTAAATCTGCCAATGCAGATAAACTGACTCAGATTGGTGCCTATTGCAATTGTGCACGACATAATTAGGAACACCTGCACAAGCAGAGGTTAGAAGTCAACAGTTAAACATGTAGGTAGAGACCAACTAATCATAGTGTGGATGAGGGAGCACACAAAAATTCATGCATCTCAAATCTACAGATGACTAGCACCGTCGAGTCCATAATTAAAACAATAATATACAGAAGTACAGAACACATGCAGCAGATAATGCGCCTTTTTTGCAGGACCATGGGTAATATATCTAAACTGAACATATCATACACTAAATAAAACTTTACCGTGGACGGAAAGGTAAAATTATAGTGGTCAATTCTCTTAGTTGTAAGCCAATAATCCAGGAAGGGGCCCACTACCAGCAAAGTTGCTGCTTGGGCGGGTGCAGTATGCCCCAGCAGATTGAAAGAACTTAGAGAATATTTCCTCTGGAGGAAATGGACGTACTGCATAGGCATACAAAACATTATTGATAAATTCATTGCACATATTTGACATTGAATAAAAAACACAACTCATCAGGAGGCTCCTCTGAAGGTTCAGCGGAAATGCATGAAAATAAATTTGAGCATTCATGTACGTGTTGCCGGGCCGGTCCTGGGGCATGGGCAAGGACACATGCAACCAGGGCCCATTTCTCCCCTAGGGCACATAAATTTCTCAGATATATATATATATATATATATATATATATATATATATATGTGTGTGTGTGTGTGTATACATACATATATATATATAGAGAGAGAGAGTAGCGCTCTTGTCCAGCCGGCCTGACAAGACCCGCCGTCCGCCATTTGGGGCCCTTCCCGGTGGAATTTTTTGATGAAATTTTTTAGCATGTTCTTTATCAAGTCTTGTTTATTCCCACCAAATTTCAGCTAAAAATTCAATCAAAAAGTCAGTTAAATAAATTATTTACAAGCACTGCGCTTTATATATATATATATATATATATATATATATAAACAGTGCAGTGTTTTTCAATTACACATTTGACTGTCTTCCCGAATGAATTTTTAGCTGAAATTTGGTGGGCATAAACTAGACTTGATGAAGAATATGCTCAAATAATTTCATCAAAAGATTCCACATGGAAGGGCCCCAAAAGACGGCAGTTCTTGTCAGGCTGTTTGGACATGAATTGTCCTATATATATAAGTGCAACATGTTGAATTTTACACTATTCACATGTTCCACTTTGACTACATTTTATTTATTGATGTATTAATATATTTTCTGAAAAAATATTGTTAAATTTGTCTCATTATAAAATTTCAAAAGATGATTATTTTAATTTTTTCAGTAACAGAGAATTATATATATTAATGGTCAAAGTTGTGCATCGGCAAATGTGAAAAGTTGACCATTGCACTTATTTATTTATTTTTTTGAAGAACCATTGCACTTATTTAAGAACGGAGGAAGTATATATTATACATTATATATCTTTAAAAAAATTAAATTAAAATCAAACTTCTAATTTTATCGGTACTTTCAATTCATTATTCAACAACATTTACAAGCTACAAGTCTAAAACTTTGAAACATCCACACCAAAATTCCTTGGGAACTGACTTCACCCCATCTTTCTCTAATTCAGAATTCTTTATTGCAAGTAAAATTGTATTACTTTTCCATTCAGCCGGTTTAGATGCATAGTATTCTTGAATGTAACTTATCAAATACTTTAAATATAATCTTTCTATCTGTATCATTTATTAAATTCTTTGATATGTTATATTTGTATTCAGATGACAAAATTACTAAATTTTAATTATACTTTTTTATATATAAAAAATAAACATTCACGCGTTATCTAAGACCTACTCTATCGATATTGTCTCGGGCTCGTAAAATGTCAGAATCGGGCCTGCTGTTGCATAAATACATCCCGTTGTTGTCCTTGTAAGGAATATCGGGTAGAAGCACACTTACATATTGTTGCAGTGCAGTGCTCCAAACAGCAATAAAGGCTGCAATGAACCCTTTGGCATTAACACTAACATCTGTAACTGTACAGACAGCAACACCTAACAGCACCAAAGAAATGCTGAGCTTTGTATCTCTTGAATATCGAATCTTGTCTAATACAACTTCCAGCAAGCATGACACGGGTATCATGCTCAACTTTGCAATCTGATAGTGATTCAGACCCCTGAGGTTAAGACACTCGAAATCAAAATAAATAGAGTTCCTATCATTTTATATACACATGATTACCTGGTAGAATCCTACTGAATTCCACATTAAACTGACATTCATCCCGACAATAGAGAAGTTTGCAAACAGTACAAATTTCAAAAGGTCCAAAAAAGGTAGATGGGAAGTTTGGATGTATCCCAGCCATCTAAGAACCGCCGTCATCAAGGTGGTCGTAGCAAAATGCATACCAGTCAACGTCGTAGCTGCACAAATTGTTTAATCAAATACTATAGCAAAAAATAATGAGAAGAATACATACTAATGTGAAACTCTCACTATTAGGAAAAGATCGAGGGAAAAGGTAAATTTTTCCCCTCAGTAGAATAGTCTCATAGGTAAATAAAGCTTCGCACTCCCTTGACCCAAATAATTGCAATTTTGGTCTTTCTGTTGGTTTGAAGAATAATGGTGTTAGTAATTAGCACATCAGTTGCTTTCAAATTAGCAAATGCATTTGTGAGTCAATACTAGTCAGACTCATCGAAACATTTGCAATATCGCCAAATTAATAAATTTTATGTTTCAAAGTTTCAATACACACAATAATACAAAGTGTATATAAGGTTATCAGAAATTTAAGCGGAGAATAATACATAAAAAACAATGAAACTATATTACTCCGTGTGCATATGTGGCTATATGAGTATTTGAGTGTATCTACAACATGTTGTTTTCTAATCATTTTTTAAAATTAATTCCATGTGCGTTTGATAAAATTCTTACTGTGTAGGAGTTAATAATATACACTTGTGTTTTCTGAGTTACACATAATATATGCATCAAGGTTTTTTCCCTATGTAATGACATCTTAGCCGAGACTCGGGTTAAGCTCCGTCTAGCACGTACATGCCATGCACACATGCACACTCACACATGTCGGGCCCCTTTGTTTTTGGGCAAAGTGTAATTCAATAGGCCAGATAATTTTGCTCATTAACATCAGCTATTTATTTAACCGTTGATCTTAAGTTCTTAACGGGTGTGAAAAGAAAAACTAAAGGTGAAAAAGTAAGTTTCCAGTATTAACTTTCAAACAAATTGAAGATTTTTAATGTCAAAAAATGGACCATTACTATTTTTGCTCCAAAACGGAGTGCGTGTGAGGGCCTGAGGGGATTTTCGTCAAGCACAGGAGGATAACACTCATGTGTGCGTGTGTACATGCATCAAGTTGATTGTTCAAAATCATTTCTTGTAAATTTGTAATTTAGTTTTTTAAACATTTCAATTGAACATTTTTCTTACTTTTTGTTTGATTTATTATGAGAATTGTTGAAGTATAACCAAAAAAAGTGAGAATTGTTGACATGAAAAATTAAACCACAAAGTAAGATCTTTATTAAGTCATACCCGAATATCATAAATCACATAGGTGTTGGAATCTACTTAATTGCATCATGCATAAACAATTACTAATTGAATTATAAATCAATTTTAGTGAGGTGTGTATTTTCTAGTTAGTACTCCCTCCGTCCCGAAATTAACTTCCACCTTTCCTTTTTGGGATGTCGCAAATCAATTTTAATGTAATGAACTTTGAATTTTTTTGGATAAGGGGACATTTGATAATTGATATATTATTATAATGATGGTGTCTTGACCTTGATGTAGTTCAATATCTCTCTCTAGGGTTTGAACCTCATAAGCTACATTGTCTCAAAACAATAATGATCTATATACCTCTCCATGTTTGAACTTTGAATCTAATTCTGGAGCTTTTTATGTCAGATCCTTATGTTCATCATCATGTTGTAGACTGAAATGTTGATAGAATCAAGCTTCAACTTGTAAACCTGCCCAGTTTTGCATTTAAACCTCAACTAAGCTGGCTAACTTGCTTTCATCATTATCTTAGAATAGGGCCAGATTAACTAGGATGAATTAAGTCCAAATTGTATGTTTGTGTCTCTTCCATGCACACTTCGGATAAAAAATTCCAAAAACAACGGCTTTAGGGTTTATGTACTCAGCGCTCTGTTTTAGAAAAACAGAGAGGGCAGAGTGCTAGTGTGCTCCTCTTACTAGGGTTGTTAATGAACCGAGCCGAGCCCGAACACCCAGAGCTCGAGTTCTTCTCGATTCAGTAATAATGGTGTTCAGGTTCGAGCTCGAAGCTCGGTGAGCTTTATAAATGAGGCTCGTGTTCAGCTCGATAGGCGTTCGATATTCGAACCAAGCGCTCGATAAGATCGATAAATATGCTCGAATTTAAAAAAATTAGGTGATGCTCATTAATAAGCTTGTGCTCGAATTGTTCGACAAGCATTCGATTTATTAATGATCATACTAATTACATTTAAACTTTAACATATACTATCCTCCGTTCTTTAATTCTTGCAATGGTTTGACTTTCACGTTTGACAACGCACAACTTTGACTGTAATTATATATAATTATGTGTTTGTAAAAATTATAAAAGGTTGATATTTTGGAAATTCACACTGATGGGATTTCAATAACATTTTATACGTAATAATTTGATTATGTATATTAGTAGAAAATCACGGTCAAACTAAGGTCAGTGAATAGTGCAAAAATCACAATATGGCAAGAATTAAAGAACGGAGGGAGTATATAAATTATATCTATAATTTCAAGGTATTCGATAGGCTCAAGCTCGAATCGAGCCGAATACTAATATGTTCGAGCTCGGCTCGATTAATTATTCGAACTTTAAACTCAGCTCGGGTTCGAATTCGAAAGCTTGTTAATCTCGGCTCATTAGGTTTGAAACCGAGCTCAAATAGTTCAATAAAAGCTCGGTTCGCTAACATCCCTACCTCTTACCGTGCACTCTGAGTCTCATGTTCTCCTCCACGATTTAGATGCTTGTTCTTGCCTTCCCTCCTGATTCAATTTGACCACCTATTGTTTGGATACCATTGTCTCATCTCTTCTCCTCCATGACTGCAATGTGTTCGCGCTCGAGCTCTGCACTCTGATTCAACAGAAGCTTTGAAGGTGCACCACTCATATCCATTATCTTCACATTACTTTTCCATGTTTGTGTGATTCTCGTTTCTCTTTTTTGTCTCTGTTTTGTGACTTTTATCTCTCCTGGCACCCAAGAGATGCATAGAAGCCATTTTGCATCACTCTGATTCATCTTTCCCTCTCTGTCTCATCACACTAATATTTGTCGATTACGAATGTGCCGCACTGAAGCGACTGCGCCATACTTGCACTAGTTGTAAGTATAGTGATAACTTGTAAATACCAGTAGTGTTCCACTGCCTAACATTGTTACTTGATTAGCGGTGTTAAGAAAATTGATTTCATATAGGGTTGAAGTGTTCAATTATTATATTATTTATAGGTATTCTAAATTCTAATGTAGTTCTTATATTACTATATTAGGCCAATTATTAAGAGCTTACTCATTGAGATTATGTTACGGTCTCGCTACTAGTCGAAGCACAGTGTGATCGGAAGGGGAAATAGAAGGGGAAAGGGAGAATGATAGAATACTTGGGAAGGAAGTTAGTGAGAATAATATTGTAATCATTCTGATTTGTAAACGGAGAGTACAAATATTTATACTACTCCTTCTTTCTAAGAATAGAAGTAACCGCATAACATAAGTTGGGTTTTAATAATATAACATAGCCCAACATAATAATATAGCATAGTCCAGTATATATTTTAAACATGGGTGCAGTCCATCCCACTTTTGTATTCTTTTAGAGTGGCCAATCAAATATTTCTCAACTTCTTGTTTACCGCTTCCACACATTTGAATAAGGGAACCTCCCTGCACTCTGAATCAGCCGAGGTCATGACAATACCCCTCCCTTTTTCCGATCCTTGTCCACAAGGATAACTAGTCGCAAACATCTCCATGAGCTTTCTTTTTTATATCCACCCTTCGATAGTTTCCTGGCCTGGTTCGGTGGATAACAGTAACGTGATTTGCGCATATCTTGAGGCCTTTGGGCGGATTTCCTTGATGGTCGATGGAGCAATGAAGAAACATCCATCATGGTCAACCGGGGGAATAGCAGATATCACCAGCGTTTCAGTAGAGAGACATGGAACACCGGATGTATTTTAGCTTCCTCTGGTAAGTCAAGCTTATAGGCCACCTTACCCACCCTTTCCATAACAGCACACAGACCAAAGTATCTAGCTGCTAACTTGTGGTTTTTTCTTAGTTGAACTGAGTGTTGTCTGTACGGTTGTAGTTTCAGATAAACTAAGTCCCCGACTTCAAACTCTCGGTCACTTCTCTTGCTATCTGCATAGTATTTCATTCTCTCTTGTGCTAACCTTAGATTCTCCTTCAGCTCTTGTTTCATTTTCTGTCTCTGAGCTATGAGCTCCTTGACATCCATGTTTGTGGAATTAGTTAGGGCTGATAGGGATAATGTTAGAGGTATGTAGCCATAGAGGGCCTCAAATGGGGTAGTTTTGAGGCTGGTATGGTAATTGGTATTATATCAGTATTCTGCCAGGGGTATCCATTGCACCCATTGCCTGGGATTATGAAAAGCCATAGCTCTGAGGTAAGCCTCTAAACACTGGTTTAACCTCTCTGTCTGTCCATCAGACTGAGGGTGGTAGGATGAGGTGTAGCTCAAGTGTGTTCCCATAAGTTTGAATAACTCCTTCCAGAACCCACTCAGGAACACTACATCTTTGTCAGTCAGTATGTCTAGAGGTTGTCCATGCAGTTTATACACACAGTCTAAGAACACCTTAGCTACTGTTGCAGCAGTATAGGGGTGTGATAAGGGCAGAAAATGCCCATATTTAGTTAGTCTGTCCACCACAGCTAATATGACATCCTTTCCATGTGACTTAGGCAACCCCTCAATGAAGTCCATACTGATGTGGCTCCAGGCCTGATCAGGGATAGGTAGAGGTTGTAGCAGCCCAGGGTAGGGACCCCCTTCTGGCTTGGTTTGGGCACATATCTCACACTCCTTGACCCATCTGGTGATGTCCCCCTTCATTTTAGGCCAGTAGAATAACCTTCTTATCCTCATGTAGGTGCCTTGTACCCCTGAATGTCCCCCAATGGCAGATGTGTGTAATTCCTTGAAGATGGTGTATTTTAATTCTGTGGTGCTGCCAATGGTTACCCTCCCCTGATATCTTAGAACTCCACCAATGTTTTCAAAATCTGGATTTGAAGTAGGGTCTATGAGCTTTTCCTTTAATATATGTGATATATAGGTATCCTGTTCATAGCTCTGGAGTACTTGCTGCATCCATGCAGGTCTCACCACTGATATAGACCAACATTCCTCCTTTTCCTGTTCCTTCCTAGAGAGTGCATCAGCTACCTTGTTTTCAACCCCCTTTTTATATTGTATGTCATAGTCTAATCCCAACAATTTGGTAATCCACCTTTGCTGGAGAGGGGTAGTTATTTTCTGATCTAGGAGGTATTTTAGTGTTTGTGATCTGTCTTTATAGTGAACTTGTTGCCCTGCAAATAATGCCTCCACTTCTGGATAGCCATAAGCACAGCCAGGAATTCTTTTTCATAGATAGAGAGCCTCATGTGATTAATTCCCAGATTTTTGCTTAAATAGGCAATAGGCCTTCCCTCTTGCATTAGAACTGCCCCAATTCCTTCCCCACTAGCATCAGTCTCCAAAATGAAGGGCCTTGTGAAATCTGGTAAGGTTAGGACAGGGGTTGTAGTCATGGCATGCTTGAGTTCATTAAAGGCTTGGTCAGCTTCATCACTCCATACAAATGCTCCCTTTTTTAGTAAGGATGTTAATGGCCTGCCGATGATCCCATAGCCTTTAACGAATTTCCTATAATACCCTGTCAACCCTAGGAATCCCCTCAATTCCTTAATAGTAGTGGGGGTGGGCCAGTTGACCAAGCATTCAATTTTTTCTGGATCTGTGGAGACTCCCTGCTGACTTATAATATGCCCCAAATAAGATATTGATTCCTGTCCAAAAACACAATTGCTCTTCTTAGCATACAACTTCTGATCCCTAAGTATTGCTAAGACTGTTCTGATGTCTTGGAGGTGTTGGTCCCAACTAGGGCTGTACACCAATATGTCATCAAAGAATACCAAGACGGTCTTCCTTAGCAAATCCTTGAAAATTTGGTTCATAAGTGACTGGAAGGTTGTTGGAGCATTGCACAAGCCAAAAGGCATTACTAAGAACTCATAATGCCCATGGTGAGTCCTGAACGCTGTTAAATACCTGTGCTCAGGTGCCATCAAAATCTGAAAATACCCAGACCGTAGATCAATTTTAGAAAAGTACCTGGCCCCCTTTAATTCATCCAGCAGCTCATCAATGACCGGAATGGAGTAATTATGTTTAATGGTATGCCTGTTTAGATACCTGTAATCTATACACATCCTCCAGCTTCCATCCTTTTTCTTTACCAACAGAACTGGGGAGGAAAAAGGGCTCTTACTAGGTTGTATTTCCCCCGTGGCTAGTAACTCAGCCACAATTTTCTCAATCTCATTTTTTTGACTATGAGATACCCTGTAGGGGTACCGCTGCTTAGGTAAACTCCCTGATTTCAGTATTATTTGGTGTTCAATACCCCGGGGTGGTGGCAGATGTTGAGGTTTCTCAAAGACTTCACCAAATTCTCCCAAGAGTTCTTCCAACTCCTCAGGTGTTGTCATGTCAGTCCCTTGTACCTTTACCCAATATACCTCTTCTATTGGACTGGGTTTTTCCTCATAAATCATTTTATACAAGGACTGACATGTAATGAGGGGGCACCTGTCTTCACATTGTAATTCCACCTTGTCTTTTCCCAGAGTCACTGTCACACACATTTGCTTATAATCAAACTGTACTCGAGTGAGATTCCTAAGCCAATCTCCCCCAAGAATGAGATCAAACTCATTGGTACGAAGAACCCTGAAGGTATGGGTGAAGGTATGCTGCTGCATTTCCCATGTGAAGTTAGGCACCTAAGTGTTGCTGCATAACTGATTGCCTCCAGCAGTAGTGACCTTAAGTTGTGTAGCCTCATCTACCTTACATCCCAATTTCTGAACAGTTCTCTGGCTAATAAAACTGAGAGAAGCTCCTGAATCTATCAAAACATGTATTTTGCTCTTACCCAAATTTGCCCCAAATAGTCATGGTGGTTGTCCCCTTCTTACTTGAATCTGCTCCCATGGTAAGTAATACCTCCTCCACCCCTTCTTCTTCAATCATTGTGTCAGGTTCTTCTTGATGAACCAATGGTTCTGGTTGGGGTTCTTCATCTGCCAGAAGAACATAGATGTGTTTATGCTTACATATGTGACCTGGGGTGAATTTCTCATCACAATTATAGCATAAACCCTTTTCTCTTTTAGCTGCCATCTCAGCCTGTGTTAACACCTTGAATGTGTTTTGTGTATTACTAGTTACCCCTCCCTTGGTTGCATTCTGCATGTTAATAGCATGGTCTATCTTTTTTGCAGGTAATGGGCCACCAAATACTGTTTCCCCCCCCCCCCTTCCCCCCCCCCCGCTTTGATTCTTCTTGTGATGGAGTCCAAGGCGGCCAACTGATTTCTGACTAACTCAATGGTAGAATCCAGTGTGGTAGGTTTAAACATTTTAACAGATGCTTTCAACTCTTCTGTAAGTCCACTAACAAAGCTGGAAATAAAGTAGTGTTCTGAAAAAACACCTCTGTGTAGCAGGGACATACAAGACTTAAGTTCCTCAAATTTCTCCACATATATCTCATAATCTTGGCCCATTTTAAGTTTATTGAAGTCCTCAACTACTGATGAAGCCTTCAGCCCCTCAAACCTTGCTGATATCACTCCCAAAAATTGTTCCCAAGACAATAGGGTCAGATCTGCCTTTCCCTCAAAATGCAGGGTAGCTAACGTGACCCTTTGGTCCAAGGGTACATGAGGCATGAATTTAGAATAACCTTGGCATTTTATAATCCAAGCACGGGGGTTGTACCCATCAAACTTGGGCAAATCAAGTTTAGGGAAAGGGAGGTGTGGATGATAGTTACCAGAATGATCGTTATATTTTGGCTTCTGATGAGATTTCTCTCTGTGTAGGTTATGTGGACCCAATGCATATGGTGGCTCTCCCAGAATGGATGCTCCTTCAGCAAAAGGATTATGATCCATGTTGTCATCCCCAGATCTATGTTTTCCTTGCGGTGAGCGTGACTAAATCTGTGGATCAGCCTTCATCTCCATGAATCTCTGATTGGACCTCTTGGTTTTTGACCTGTATCTCTTCCTGCCTCATTTCTGCAGCCTCTCTTTTCAGGGTTTCAGCTAGCAGGGACTGTTCTATCATCCTTTGTCCATCCAAGCATTCCTTCAGCCTGGTGCCTTCTGCCATCTTCCTGGATCAGACGGCTCTGATACCAAATGTTACGGTCTGGCTACTAGTCGAAGCACAGTGTGATCGGAAGGGGAAATAGAAGGGGAAAGGGAGAATGATAGAATACTTGGGAAGGAAGTTAGTGAGAATAATATTGTAATCATTCTGATTTGTAAACGGAGAGTACAAATATTTATACTACTCCTTCTTTCTAAGAATAGAAGTAACCGCATAACATAAGTTGGGTTTTAATAATATAACATAGCCCAACATAATAATATAGCATAGTCCAGTATATATTTTAAACATGGGTGCAGTCCAGCCCACTTTTGTATTCTTTTAGAGTGACCCATCAAATATTTCTCCACTTCTTGTTTACCGCTTCCACACGTTTGAATAAGGGAACCTCCCTGCACTCTGAATCAGCCGAGTTCATGACAGATTATGATTCAACTATATTTTACCTAAACTGCAAGTCTGACAGCCCCACGTTATACATGAGGACAGTTATGCACCACAAAGGGAAGCTACACATTAGAAAATTACCAAAGCTGAAACCATATGTAGCCATTAAGGCCTTATTGACAATGATGATTCCAACAGAAGTGACCACATTGAACATCCATGCAGCTGCATCACCTGCTGCCTTCTTCTCAGCCTTGTTTGCAGGAGCCATTTTCCGTTATTGCTGTACAATCCCTCTCTCTTATCCTTCAACATGTAACACCCAAAAAAAACTTTTGCATTCATGCTCTCAAGGCTATGATATTAGCTTTTCTGTCCACGTTCTTTACATAGGAATATAAAATCACTGAAGTGTGAACAAATCAAGAAAAATTGTCCCGGATTTTTATGCTCATTACAAAGCTGGCATAAAGCCAGCCATTAAACATTAGCCGTTATAAACAAATTAAAGGAGATTATAAGAATATCACAACATCCAAACAGAAAATTTTATTTAAAGCACACTGATACTTTCAAATGCTAGAAACAGAATAAAGCTAAGAACTATTGAAAATCCACGAAACCCTAAAATTTACAACAATTCCATCCATCACATAACTGATCCAGGCAATCACACACCATGGTACTGGAAAAAGACTAGGTGAGAATTTACTGTTATATTACCCGATCTAAACCAGAATCCAGATCACACGGAATTCACTAAATTGACCAGATCTAACCTTAAACATGGCACAAAATCCTCCCTACACCAGATTTAGATGCACACAACATTTATGTATACGCAATACATATATGGAAATATTCAAACGGCGCCTTGAGAAATGTGAGTTGAATGTACAATTAGGAGACGTACCGTTAAGAAATTGAAGAGATTGAAAATGACCTCTCTGTAAGTGAAAGAAATCTGATCTTCACCGTATCATTTCTCTCTCTTGATTTCTGCCTGTTTAAACACAGCTGACAATTGAAATATGATGTGTTTCTACATAGTCCGTGATTGGTTTCCCGTCCAACAAATTTGTGTGTGTTGTGGACGAGTAAAACTATAATCTCTCCTCTAATTTGCTAACTTTCCAGTTAATTCTCTCTACAGAAACCTCAATCACACACTTTTTACTATATACGAAACGGGAAGAATAACGTGTTGGGGTTTGACCCGAGAAAGACAACTCTACAAGCTTCAACTAATTTGCTTTCTTCTTTCTTTAAAGTTTCAACTGCTAATTTGTTTCCACATTGGGATGTCTCGTATTTGCTTTCACACTTTCATTTAAGGAAAGTTTAATAAGCTAAAAGACTCAAATATCATCGTCTCATTTACCTCATTTACTCCCTTCAACAATCTTTTCCATCATTTGCAATGGAGCCAAAGATTCATTATTTTTTGGCTTGAGATTATGATGGAATAAAGCAAAATGGCTCACTAAACTGTCTGCGCTTCTTTGTTATGGAGCAACAGTCAGTCCATGCAATCTTGGACACGATTTTCACTATGGGTCATCCGGAAACAGTCTCTCTGTGCTTTAGTACAGTTTAGTATAGGGGTAAGACTGCGTACATCCGACCCTCCCCTTACCCCACCGTAGGTGGGAGCCTTTGCGGCACTGGGGTATTAGTCGAGTATTAGTCGAGTACTCCCTTCAACAATCCACCACCCCATTTAATCCTCGTTACCCATTGCCCCATTTGATTTCTACTACCCACCGCCCCATTTAATCCCTATTTTCTACGCACCGCCTCATTCTCATCCGCACAGTTCGAGTCTATCGGTCTTCTTCTATCCTTCTACCTTCTATATTTTCTGCGAGTCATCTCCTCTCCTTGTCCTCCTTTTGTTGTCCCTTGTCCATCATTATCTTCACCTTTCTCACACAACCTAAAATGGATGGAGATTTCTCCAAACGATATTGTCATGTGGCCGATCTGAACACTGATAACGACGTCGGTGGACTTACTAAGCTCCTTCGTAAGTCAGTACCTGACTCAGATATGAAAGTTTTAAACTCCTTCCAAACATCTGATATGCACAATGAAGAAAAGATCGAATCCACCTCTTTTCGTTGGGGCTAAATGTTTACCCATTCCAGATGGTGAACATGCATGACCCGTAGAGCCATGATGGAGTATATGGCCCGGGAACCCCCGGCCCACAGACTCCTACTACTCTAGCAAAGGCCCAACAGGCCCAGAAGGCTCAACAGGCCCAATTCACAGCGCCCAAAGTACCAAGCAGCCCGCACTACGCGCCAGGGGTGCCTTCGGCCCCCTGGCCGAAGGCTCTAAACTCTCACAGAACGGGGTTCTCAAGCAAACTAAGAAACTGGGAGAAAACGGCAAAAACAGTAGCCCTCGGCACCAGGAGCCCTCGGCACCAGGGTGCCATCGGTTTGAGGAGCCCTCGACTACTGCTCTACAGCCGAAGGCACCTCACTCGACAAGATCTCCTCTTCACGCGCGTACAGATCACCGTACCCCGTGCAACGTCCCATCCAACAGCCGCATTAAATGCGGCCACATGCGTTTGCCAGCGCCAACTGGATGAGGTGACCTCTCGGCCAATGGATGCTTGACACGTGTCCCTGTCCGGCATTTATTGCTGCTATAAATAGCCCCCCATTTCCCCATTTGTAACCACGACATTCATACTGAATACACTCTCTCTCTTACTTACTTGTGCTCTGACTTCTCTCTAAGTTATTCCCTGCAATAACCCTCGGATAACATACCCCCCGGGTAGACTATCCATCATTTGGTGCTCTCGTTGAGAGGTCGAACAATCGAGTAAGAAACCCTCCCCCTTCGCCAAACACTAGCCCTCTACCAAAATGGTGAGAACAACACGTGCCAACTCCAAAAACGTAGAAGACAAGAACATGGCCCTCGGCGACGTCAACGCCCCCGAAGCCCCTCACAGGGCTCCCGAGGGCGGTGTCATCGTTGGGCTGGAACAGGCGGCTGTCGACCTACGCCTTCAGATTCAGCAGAATGCCCCCGATGCCCGCCTCGGCATCGAGGCCAAAAAGAAAAACCGGAGCGATGACCAAATCAGCCCTCCGGTTCTCACCATTGACGTGCAATCGGCGCTCTCCGCTTTCATCCAAACGCTCACTCAGAACCCGGGTGCCTTCGGCACCCTGGCTCCGGCTCAACCCCAGGTGGGGGAGAACATCATACTTCCCCCTCTGCCACACCCCTTCGGAAACCCCACCCCTCGGGTTAGGAACGACGAAGGGGTAGTGGCCCAAGATACGTCCTCCCAGGAAGTTCAGTCCCGGGACCGCCACAATGACAACAGAGAAAGGCCCCGCACTTCCGCCCTCAACCGGCTCGGAGGAGGGCCAGACCGCCGAGGGGTCCAAGACCGCCTCGGAGGGAAAGCACTCCAAAGGCCCCAGGAAAGTGGAGGGTCTGTCTCGAGGGCAGACGAGGAGCGTCCCCCTCGGGACAAAGGCAAGGCACCCCTTCATGCCAATGATGCTCGCCACCAGATCAATCAGGCCCACTCGGCTCGGGTTCGTTCGCAGGGGGCGGAGACCCTCCCGAAGGATCCCCGTGACGAAATTACTGCGGCCCTCCAACGCCGGCTTGATGAAATGGAGGCCAGCAAAGCTCACGCCACCACCTCCACCCCTCATTCAGATCTCAAATACGAGGCCATGATGGCCAAAATGGAGGAATTGCAGAAGAAGGTGGGCGAGGGCTCCGGGGAACCTGTCATCCAGCTACGGACCCGGACGCCATTTACCCCAAGGGTACTGGCGGCCCGGATCCCGGAAAAATACCGAGGGCAGCACATACAGCCCTATAACGGGAAGACGGACCCCCAGGAGCACTACAGCAAATATCAAAACAGCATGATGATGGTAGGGGCGTCGGACGAATATTTGTGTCGCTGGTTCCTCTCCACCTTAGAGGGCCGGCATACGAATGGTTCAACCGGCTGCCCGAGGGCTGCATTGATTCGTGGCAAGAACTCGCCCAGCGATTCTTGACACAATTTGCCGGGAGGCGTCGCACAAGGAAGCACTTCTCCCGCCTCTTAACCATACGCCAGAAGAGGGATGAGACCCTTCGGGACTTCCTGGAGCGCTGGAGGACGGAGGCCAACAAAGTCGACGGTGCTGATGACGGGACCCTCCTGGCCCTCCTACAAACCGTTCTCCGCACCGGCAACTTTTCAAGGAGCCTCATCATTGAACCCCCCCGCGACTACATAAGGGCTTTGCAGCGGGGGGACCGATATGCTGAGGCCGAGGAGGTGGAGAAATATCACCAACATCCGGATCAGCAGCCCCCGAGGGCTGACAATAAAAACAATCGAGGGCCGGGGGCTCCTCCAAATCACCCCAAATCTGCAGGACCCTCTGATGATTGCCCTCGGCAAGGCCAAGCCAAGCCCGGGGGAGGTTATAAGAGCAACCCTAAGACTTGGGCACAGCCCATACTCCTCGACCGCCCTCGGACACCATTGACGCACCCCGTCAGCATCATCCTTGATTTTGCCGAGGAGAGGGGCCTCGTTGAGCGCGACTCTCGCGCACCCCCGGAGGTACATGCTATCAACCCTCAGTTCCCATACTGTCGCTTCCATCGGCACCAGGGGCACAAGACCGATGACTGCCATCAGCTAAAGCCGGCCATCGAGAGATTAATACAAGCAGGGCACCTGTCCCAATTTGTTCAGAGCCCTCGGCAGGAGGGACCTTCTCATCAGGGGCCTCCCCGAGGGCACCCCACGAAGGTGAACGCTTGGGTAAACCCGAATACCATCCCCCTCGGCAAGAAGAGGGAGATTGGAAACTTGGAAGAAGAGGAGGAGGAATACCCCCACTACTAGGAGAAAAAACGCCACATCCTCATGATCACCGGTGGCAATACAGGGGGCGATTCCACCAGTCAGCGAAAGAAGTGGGCTCAATCGCTTTACGTGGGGGAAGTCACTCATATGCCCCCCGGTAAAGCGACTGAGGGAGGAACCCATTACCTTCACCAACGCAGATCTCCCTCCTACTTCTTCTCCTCACAGGGATGCCTTGGTGATTCGGACTGAAATAAACGACACCATCATTCACCGAACTTACATTGACACGGGCAGCTTCGTCAATGTAATGTACCTCAGCACCTTCAGAGAGCTGCATCTGGAGAGGGGGTCCCTCCGGCCCATTAAGACCCCTCTTGCCGGCTTCACCGGCGATACTATTGATTCCGAGGGGGTAATAACCCTCCCGGTGATCTTCGGCGACAGGCTCCATAGAGCCCAGCTCGAAGTGGAGTTCGTCGTTGTAAACATCGATTGCGCCCACAACATTGTCCTCGGCCGGCCAGCCCTGGAGGACCTCGAGGCCATCATCTCCATGAGGCACCTCTGCCTCAAGTTCCCCGTCGAGGGGGGCATTGGCTACTCCCGGGGGAATCAGAAAATCGCCTGCGTCTGCTATCTTCAAGTCACTAAGAAGGTAAGTAAGACGGAATTCCGTGTTGACACCATCACCGGAACCATCGACCAAGAAGAAAAAAGGCCGAGGGCTGAACCAGCCGAGGACGTAGAAGACTTTGCGCTCGATCCGGCTCAGCCGGAGAGAGTCGTGAAGATTGGAGCCCACCTCCCTGAAGATCTGAAGACCGGTATCACCGACGCCCTCCGCGCCTACTCCACTGTCTTTGCATGGGGGACGGAGGACATGCCGGGAATAAGCCGAAGGGTCATCACCCACCGCCTCTCGGTGGACCCCTCGACAAAAGCAGTACAACAACGAAGAAGACCCCTCTCCGCCGAGAGGAGGGAATTTGTGAAGAAGGAGGTCGCCATGCTCCTCTCTATCAAGCACATCAAGGAGGTGAAATATCCCTCATGGCTAGCAAATGTAGTCCTCGCACAGAAGCCCCCTACCTTCCGCATGTGCGTGGACTACACCGATCTCAACAAGGCGTGCCCTATGGATCCATTCCCTCTACCAAATATTGATCAACTGGTGGATGAGACCGCAGGGTGTGAGATCATGTCCTTCCTCGATGCCTTCCGAGGGTATCACCAAATTTTCATGCACGAGGAAGACGCCGAAAAAACTGCCTTCATGACTCCCGAGGGCATCT